TTAATAAAAAATCGCGCGATTTTTTATTAAAAATTTTCATTATTTATATATATATTAAACGAAAGAAGATACCGAAAAGCATTGAACAGTGCACACATCTCATAAGGAAAAGTGAATTATTACGAAATACTAATACAGTGGCAGCACTATAGCTATTTTGCAATCTCGCGTTTCAGCTCGCAAAGATTGTCAACTTCTTTTTAATAACAAAATAATCTATCTAAGGTTGATAAAACTATGTGTTTCTTTAATAAATAAGTTAAATTATATATTTTAATAGTGTTTAAAAAGTGTGAACAGGTGATTTAGTGAATCTTTGTCGGTGTAATTGCCCATCGAAAACAACGAAATTTAACAAAAGTTTGAGAACATCACCTGGCGGGATATTTGGAGGTTGAGCACTGCTGCTACAATAACAACAACAACAACAGATGAGAGCAACAAAAATGCAACTTTGAAGAAACAAGGTCCCAAACCCAGTGGTATTCCGTCTGAACTGTTAAAAGCCGTCAATGAAGAATGACGATACGCGGTTTGGTATACTATAATATAAAAATCAAAAATAAAAATAGAGAAAAGGACTAGAAAAAATGAAAAACACGGGAAAAAATAGATAAATTGTATGAGTTCAACATTTTCAAATGATGTGATGTGGCAATAAAAAAGGCGACATTTTGTGGTAGAAACGAAATCACCATTAGACTTTATAATGGAACTTAATTTTTTGGCGAAAGGAACACAAATTTTCGTGAGCATGGAATATACATTTTTTTTTTGACCACCCTAATGTACATATGTAGTATGTACCTACGAGTAATTGGCTATATTACTTAGATAGTTTACTTTGATTACCCAGATCTTAAGTATTTAAGTACATACATGCGCAAATAATGTACCCATATATTCTACCCTCCTCTTCATCTATGGCTTTTATTGTTTTAAGCACTTTTTATTTTACATGTCATGCAATAGTGTGTATGTAGATACATATGTATGTATGAATATGTTTTGTACCCTCCTAAATGTCCAATTCATTAAAATCATATCTTATATACCGTAGCATAATTAGCCCTTAGGGATCTCATCACCATCATTTTACATGAATAACTGCAATATTCTTCAAAATATAAAACACAACTTTATTTTACTTATCCAACTGCGGCAAACAGGGGCATGACTGTGACAACCAATTCGGTGGTGATTACCAAGGACCAAAGTAATTTGATAGGCATCAGCATTGGAGGTGGTGCACCAATGTGTCCCTGTCTATACATCGTACAAGTAAGCTTAGAATTAAAACCGTTAATTTTTAATAGCTTTAATACTAATACATACATCCTTCCATCCCGAAAGGTCTTCGATGGTACGCCCGCAGCGCGTGAAGGTTCTCTACAAAGCGGCGATGAGCTGTTGGCAGTCAACTCGGTCAGTGTGAAGGGTAAAACCAAGGTGGAAGTGGCTAAAATGATACAAGCCGCCACTACAACTGTCAGCATACACTACAACAAGCTGCATGCCAATCCGGAGCAGGGCAAATCGCTGGATATTATATTGAAGAAATTGAAGCATCGCATTGTGGATAATATGTCGAGTAATACAGCAGATACTTTGCGCCTCTCGCGCGCCATCCTTTGCAATGATTCACTGGTAAAACGGTTAGAAGAACTTGAGGGAACCGAACTGATGTACAAAGGCTTGGTGGAGCATGCGCGACGCATGCTGAAAGCCTATTATGATTTGCTGCAAACTTACAAAGCCTTCGGCGATTGTTTCACACAGATTAGCGCACGCGAACCGCAGCAACGCGCCTCTGAGGCATTTCGCATGTTTGGCGAATTTCATCGAAATCTCGAAAGGGACGGTCTCAGCATAATCAAACAAATCAAGCCAGTACTCTCCGATTTGGGCACGTACCTGAACAAGGCGATACCGGACACCAAGCTGACTGTGCGCCGTTATGCCGATGCGAAATTTACTTATCTCTCGTACTGTCTGAAGGTGAAGGAAATGGACGATGAGGAGCATAGCTTTGCTGCGTTGCAAGAGCCGCTCTATCGCGTCGAGACGGGCAACTATGAATACAGACTAATTTTGCGTTGTCGCCAGGACGCGCGCAACAAGTTCGCCAAACTGCGTACCGATGTATTGGAGAAGATGGAATTGCTGGAGTGCAAACATGCTACAGATCTCAATCAGCAATTGCGCAGTTTGCTTGATAGTTTGGCGCAACTGAATCGTTCAGTGGTCGAGCGCATGGACGCCTTGCCGCCACTTTTCCCTATCGAGGTTGATTTCAAAGAAACTGACTTCCAATACAAGTCCAGCACGTTGAAGCCCCAGGACGTGGACGAAGAAGATGAGGAGAGCAACGTGCGCACTGAAGCGAATACACTACGCGCGTCGAGCACCGAAGTTGTTTGTGGCCTAGAGGCGGTGGAAACACCAGCGCCCGTAATGAATGTACAGCAGAAGGGAAGCATCTTAGACGATCTTGACGCGGCGGACAGTCAGTGTGCGGAAAATAATGAAACGCTCTTAAAGGAGTTGGGTCTATTCGGTGTCGATCTTATGTCCAATCCGCAAACTTTAACGAATCAAAAGGATTCGGTTGCTGCACAAAATGGTGGTTACGATTTTGATTTGTTTCTCAATCAGACGGCAGCAACAACGACGCAATTGGAGCAGGATTTAATGTCGAATGCGTCGGAAACAGATTTGCTGTTGCAGTGAGTTGGCGAGCGGCTAGGTGGAAAATGAGCTTCAAAAAAAAAAAACATTAAAAAATGTGTATTACCAAAAATTAGGCCATAGATATGTATCTATATAACGGTAATGGCGGTTATACTGGAACCATTGCGATCTAGGTTTGATGCAGACACGTTCATATGCATTTAAAAAAAAAAACAGTTACTAGACCAATTTGAAAATACCTCGTAAAATCTCATTATATTAATTTCGTGATCAAATTTGCAAAATTTTTTTTGGGGATTTTTAAAAGCTTAAACTCATCTATCATTTACGGTGATTTTTAAAAAAAAAATATTTTTAAAGGTATTTTCAAATAGGTCTAGCTCACGTGAAGCATACAATTTTTCTGAAATATTTTGACCGGAGGTCTTAAAATATATAATACATTTTATATTTCCGATTGGAAACAGTTTGTTTTTTTGCTGTGTAGAGAGTGATGCACTGTAATGTAGATATGTTTAAGTATTACAATTTTTGTGAGTATCCCAATTATTCAACAGAGTTTGAGCTGTGCAAAAAATAACAAAAATATGGTATAAAAACATGTCCTAAGTAATTATATTTTATATGGTTTATGTATTAAATAACCAATACAAATATTTTTGTGTACCTATATTACATGCTTCATGATTTTGAAAGTTTACAACTACTTCACAGAGAAATGCGTTTTTTATACAACATTCGATCAGCAAGCCTCTACTCGGCGCTCACACCTGCTTCCCGAGAGAACCATTTATCCAACCGATATACATACATATGTACATTAGGGTGGGTCAATTTGTATCGAAATATTTTTCGACTATGCGTGTATAGCGCATTTACCGAGAATATATGGGTCTAAAAGCAATTTTGAGTTTGCCAAATTGCGTAAATAAGTTTCTTTAGTATTGTCTGTTGTGTCGTGAAGTGCTAAATGAAATAAACTACTATAAGGGACAACTCGTTCTACGAAGAATGTTTCGCCGCTGCAGAGAAAAATAGCGCCGCTTAGGGGGACGCGCTGCGATCGAGTTGAAGAGGGAAGCGAGATGTGTGTATGTATGTATGTTCCATAATCAAAATTAGCAGTTCAAAACAAGTTGCGAAGAACTTGAAATGCTGACCGTTAGGAATAACGTCATCGGCCTTCATCGACCACCAATTGCAGCCAAGTGTTTCAGCTAACTCTAGCGCAATGCCGCAATTTAAGTTTGGATAGTGTAGCAGACTTAACATTTACTTATTCAGACTCGACTTAACACATGTCCGATTTGCGAAGATACCCCACACGAAACCAATTACTTCTTCACTTTTGCCTTAAAACCACTTATTTAACACTTTTCTCCCCCTGGCCCAAACAGCCACGTTTCCTGTGCTTAGCTTTAACTTAGCCGATTTAGGCCGGGCTTAGCACTGCCACTAAAACAAGATCCAATTTTCTCCCCCAGAAAGTTAGGCTACGTACCGACTCAAGAACATCCTCCCTACCGAATAGTAACCTCACTGAAACTAGTGCAGGAGATGAACCTGCCCCCACCGCCCAACTGTTACGAATAGTAATTTCGCGGCTGAAAAACAACAAAACTACTGGGAATGACGGCCTGCCAGCTGAGCTATTCAAGTGCAGTGACGATTTGAAATGGTACTCGGCATGCTCGTGGCTTGAGTGCCTGCCCAATCCACAAAGAGAGACCCCTCTTGCGAACGGATTCGACCTTATTGGCTTTGGCCTTAGACATTGGTAAATTCATCATACACGACGCATTCACCAAATCTTGCAAAAAAATTCTCGGGAAGACGGTCGACACTTACCACATATGCGTCGCGTAAAAGCCGTCTTCGAAAGCATGAAAATGAGCTGTCCTTACGCCACGATGTCCAAATTTGGTATCCGATGCGGTATCCGCTGGTTGTCGTCTATGAAGGCTGAAGGGGGATAAGGGACTTAGCTTCACTAGGTAGTTCTAATTGTCGCCAATTAGCAGGAGGGAGAAATGCATGCTAAGTTGAAACTTTTCAGCACATTTTCCTTTAAGTTCGATACACCTCATGCGTTGGTTTCATGGTTGACTTTTTCTTCGACCCAAAATAGTGGCTAGGAATAGCTTTAGAAACTAGAAATACTTAATAGCTTAATTTATTTATTACTCTGTAATGTCGTAATTAATACGCTGTGCGTTGCCTATCGCATCGCATTTCTCTTTCGTATCGCAATACAGAGTAGCCCCAGTTCTTTCCATTGCATAGGCAATTCCCAGCCTCATGGGGGTTTGTTGGCCACTGACCTACTATCTCAATTGTTCACGTCATATTTTCCAAACAAATTTGATTATCTAGGGCTTGTATTCGTCCGCAATTTTCGGTTTGAAGCAGAAAAAATAAGTTTGGCTCATTAAGACAACGGGCTTGTTCGAGATGTAATCACAACCGCAGTGTTGCGCGAATATTAAAGAATCACGTTCGGCGTGAATTTCTAGCAACGTTTTATCAGTTGGGAAATTGCAACAGTATTGCATATTTTCATCAGTGCTGCAGTATTGCCGCTTTTATTACGTGCCTCGAAAAGGCCCAGCTTCTACGCGATGAAAACATATGATATTAAAATCAAGTTATTTATAGAAACCTACCGATAAGACTTCAAATGCGCAACAAACAAAATTGACGTTAATTTAAAAAATCAATCAATCCACACCTAAAACAAACTACTAACGATATCTCGCACCAATTTTTTTTTAATGTTGAGCAGTGTAATAAATAACACAACAGATTTGAGTTTTTGTTGCTTTAGTTATATTTTTTAATACATATTTTCAAAACAATTGCAATTATAATAAATTCAGTTTTACAGTCATGGATATGTAAGTACAGTTGAACACTATGACTGCAAAGTATTGTACTTTTTCTCCCAAATAGTCTTACAACTTTTTGTTCGATTTGTTTATTAAGCTAAGAATATAGTGGAGCGACGAAAAAAATATCTAGATGATTCACCAACTTAATTAAGTGCGGTAGTACGTAAAAAAAAGAGCTGACATTTCTGTATAACGACTTTTGGCGCTTTTATCGTCGCTCAACTATATCCTTAACCTTACTTTGCCGGCACTAATAATAATTATTTTAGGGTTCCAGCAACCAATAATAAGTAATCACATTTATGTATAAATGTAGGAATTTAAATGTGCATTTGTTCTTTAACAACAAAATGTTTACATATGTATTTACAATTGATGAATAATTTTGTGAATGTATGTATATAACCAAGAAAAATAAAATAAATAAATAAATGAGAAATGGGAGAATAGTGACACAACATCTAAGTACTATAATAAAGTCGGTAATGAGAAGGGAAGCATAGTACATAAATACATACATACTGTAAAAAGTTCAAAGATGTAATAAATAAATTTATATACATACATTTGTAGGAAAATAAATAATTTCATTAACTAAATATTTTAAAACTATTTGCGTTTCTATATTACAATAAACTAAACGAACATTCTAGGAATTAAAACAGTAACAAGAAGCGTATAACGTTTATATTTAATACAATTTCAATAATTTCTGTTACATCTCTAATAAATCTAAGCCGCAAAAAACACTAGCTTAAATACGTTTTCAGCAAATTCGCTACGTAGAACAATCGCTCAATAGGGGTATTCTCTGAGTCTTGCAAAGCCCTTGCACGGTTTGCAAAGCTGACCCATAAGAACACCGGTACTTACCGTGCAATCTGTGCACCATGCAAGGGCTTTGCAAGACTCAGAGAATACCCCTAATGAATTCGAAACTTAAAACGTGCTTAGAGCCTGCATTTACATACATACATACATGGTTGAGCTATGTGTGCTTGTTATGCAAAAGGAAAAATATCTATAATTACCATTACACATAGCTGTTGCTTAATACTATTTTGATACATCATCATGCATAATTTAAAGAGTGTAATAGACGGTAGACTTTGTGGGTTTTTCGATATCATTACACATCTTCTACACCCTTCAACTGTAGTCATACACGATTTGGAGTTTTTGTTTACATTTTTGATTTTCATATTCACTGGGATTGTCTTGTATATATGTATGATGTATTTATACAGATACATATATATTTCCTTATAAGCCTAAACGCCTACTGTTCCTGGCCTTGCGAAGACACTCTCTCTCCCTGCTGATGCTGCTGCTGCGACTGCGCCTGCTGCCGTTGGCGTCTAAGGCGCTGCGTATTATTGTAACAATTTAAATTAGCTGTTACACGGCTTAGCAACTCTGTCATGCGTTTTGGTATTTTAAGCAGCTGCTGACGACGCTGTCGCTGCTTGTTGATGTTGCTCCTATGTCCTTTCTCTGCAGAATTACCATTGAGTTGCTCTAAAACTGCCGAGTGCTGTACGTATGTAACAAATGTGTTCGCGTGCTGCAAGTCTTCTAGATCGACAAGGTCGTGCAATGTTTCTACCGACACTACACGCATATTTACCAAACCTTCAACCAATCCTGCAGCGACACTGGCGCTTAACTCAAGTCCATCACCACGGGCACTGGTACCATGCCCGCCAACAAGAGACCCAACATTTACACCAAGCCCAGCAGCTGTTGTAGATGTTGCATGCATCAGCATTCGGCCACCATCACCTACGCCAGTGCTAGCACCTAAAGCATTGTTGCTAGCAATAATGGCGGCGCGGTAATGTGCCGCGCCCAGCGGACACTAGGCACATGTGAGTAGCGCGTCGTCGAGTAGCTTCACGCTTAGCTTTTGCTTGTAGTGATATTCCTTAAGGTATGTTTTGAGGCGAACCGGCAGCTCCAGCTCGGATATGCCGTCATAGGTGGTATTGGAAACAATGGCAGCGCGCGCCAGCTGTTGCAAAGAGAAGACTGTCTTGCGATGGAATGGTACAGTCAACATCGGTTCAAAGAACATGACACTACCGGGATCCTTGTAGTGCTCCAGTAAACCGGTCACTGTTGAAGTACTAAACACTGCTGGGTCGTGGCAATCGAAACTGTTAAAAGGAGAGAATGAAAAATGAAGTGAGCGAGTATTAGAGATTTTAACTGGGTACAAATGAATTTTGCAAAATAGTAACCTGTCACTCAACCCAATTAAATGGCGAGTTACACTTGAAACACGCTTACCTGAACTTGTGTCCACTCTGCTCAATGCGCGCATGCAGCGATCTCCCGTACTTTCGGAATGTTACCGAGAATAGATACTCTTCTTGCGCCGAATCGCGCAACAAGAATGTACCTTCGGGCTTGCCTTCCAGTAGACGCTCGGCCTCATAGCGATCCATTTTGCCCCAGTAAAAGCTCGAGTTAAAAATGCGCAGCAAATCTGGCACAAGATAATGCACAAAATCTACTTGTGAGTGTACAATGGGGCCGCTAGTCGCTGACGCTGACACCTGTGTGCTACTGTTTCTTAGCAACGAAGTGGGCACCGCGCAAGCTTGCTCGCGGTCTCCACTACTTGCATCGCCGCCAACACTGCCACTATTCCCAGCCACGAGTTCTGTGGTCATCAAACGTTCCAAACCGACACCCGTTGTGGATGGACACACCACCAAATTTATGGCAGAGATTATTACATCTTTGTTAGCCGCCCAAATAGCCAGCTGATTGGTGGTTGCCGTCGTCTGTTGTAATGGTGAAAGTGTTGCCGTTGAGGTAGTAATCGATAATGGAGTGCCGGGCATAAGTGCATTGGAAGTTGTCGGCGCAATGGCGTTACTTATTGGGGTATCATGGTAAATGCTGGAAGAACTAGCTGTTGCATCGCCGCCACGAGGCCGATATTGATTTTGTATTTGTGATGCCGATAGCGGCGTTTGTGTAATACTGCGGGAATGATTGCTGCTGCTGTTATTGTTATTATTTCTATTGCTGTTTGAAGAAATTTTATTGAGCTGCGATTTACTGCTGCTGCTGAAAGATTCCAAAATGCTTCTAAAATTCATGAAAGCCGACTTTGTTTTCTGACGCCGACTTGTATCGGGCCGCGTGCGTGCTGAGGTTGTAGCCTCTTCGTTAACCTCGTAATACTCAACGGCACTAGCGCTATCCGTCCCTTGTTCCAATAGCGGCTTAGTAATGCGTAGAGCATTCAAGTGTACCGGAAGAGATGCTCTATTATTATTTATATTACAACCACTGTATGTATTGTTTAACGCCGAGTTGGGAGAACTGCCAGCAGCTCTCAATAAAACCGCATCACCACGCGGCACCTTATTCGAATTCGTATCCACTAAACGGCGATAACCTTCGCTATTTGCCAACGCTGGAGCGCAGGACTCGGCTGCTGCAGTTGGCGAAGGCTGTGCATTTTCTGATGCATTGTCCATGTCACCCGGCGTATGCGTTTTGAAGCGTATTTTTATAATAATCTGGCCTGATGAGTTGTTGGTCACTGAGCCGAGACCCGATGAGCCTTCGGAGGTTATGGAATCGCCGTTGTCTAACCGCAAAACAGGCAAGAGCTTATCCCCGTACACAGTAGCGGCGCTACCACTACTGCTGTTAAGTGATGCGATTGAGTGGCGATAATGTTTATTGTTTTCGCTATCTGCTGAACGCGACTTTGGAAAACGTGACGAATGACGAGTCGATTGCTTGGATAATTTAGCTACTGATGATGTGTCTTTAGTTGAATTTTTATTGATGCTAGTGTTACCATCGGTTAGGCCAGCAGATTGTTTGCTGGAACGGTGCCCCATCGGAAGATATTTCAACAATTTATTTTGTTTTTTTATATTCTGTATTTAAAGTGGCACATCAAGATTTGCTGTATCTGAAAGAAAGAGTAGAGTTTTCAATTAAAATGTATTTCTAATAAAAAATTATTGTATTTATGGCCTTATTCATAAAAAATAAAGTAGGTTTAAAGAGCTTTATAAATTGACGTTTTCATACATTTTTCAATTAATAAACCTTTTATAAAGCTACTTTATTTTTTATGAATAAGGCCATTAGACTTTAATAAGTTGGCCGCGAAGTTTTCATGACAACACGTTAAACTGGCTCTTTCAGTGGTAATGGTAACCTCTAACAACTCTTATACGGCGATTAAAACGTAATTTACGGACAACAAAACCAGTCATCGCGAATATAGCATAGAACACTTTGGGAATTACTGTAAATTCCAATAAAATCCTGTTTAGAATCGTGACTGGTGTTGGTACGAACGCCTTTGGAACAAAGCACAAATATTCCTTATCACCAAAACTGACAGGTAATCATGACTTTCGCACTTTCCGTTTTCCTTGCATGAACTGCCAGAATTTACAGTCAAGGCTTTTTCCTTGGTTCACTTAATCTAATGTTCAAATCATATTGTCCTCCGTTATTCAAGCATTCCTTTCAAAGCGGTGTGGCAGCAAACAATAGCTCTGATCCAGTACTCCATGAACTTACAGGTTTTTACACGAACATGTAGAAAGTTACAGGAAAAATGTTCCCCTACTACAAAATCCTGCAAATGAGAGCGATTTTTGGAGAGTTGGTAGAGAATGAATTTGCAAGATTTTACCCGAACTTTTTCTTCTGGTAAAATTATGAAAATTGTCAAGTGATAAGCTGTTTCACGTTTTTACAGGAAAAATGATTTTTCTTTTTGGTTGTTACACATGGTTGTTACACACTTTTTACTCTCACTTCAGAGAGTAATTTTGCTGTTTGACATTTTTACATAATTTTACACGAAGAGCCTGTGATTCAAAAGTAAACTTGCTCATGAGCCACCCTTTATTTATATAATATACGCACCACTTATGTATGTATGTATGTATGTACCATGATAAAAACATAGCAAGGTAGAACCGTTCTCTCAATTTGTCGGC